CCCCCCCCCCCCCCACCACCACCACCACCACCACCACCATCACCACCGAAGTCATATCCCTCTCAGGCTCCTTTTCAGTCCCTTTTCCCTCCATTTCACTTCCCTTTTTTTTTTCCATTTCCCGCTCATGCCTCCCTCCCCTCTCCACATATCTTTTCTCTTCCTCCAGCACTCTCCCTCCTCTCTCTCATGTCTACTGCAGCAGAAAAGCCAGCACAGACTACAGGATGTGCATGTGTGTGTGTGTGGGGGGGGGGGGGGGGGTTACATGTGTGTGCTACTACAGTCAAATCCACGAGCGAACCTTTTATGAGCAACGAAGGTGAATTTGGAAAAGAGGGGGGAATGCGTCGAATGTTCAGATCAAATTATTGATTGCCGGTGCGTTACATCACAGCTATGCAAACAACCTCCCCCCCTTAAATCATTTGAGCATCCCCCCTTTTTCTTGTACACTCAAACACCCCCTTGTTTTTTTATTCGCCCTCATCTCCCTCTTCTTCTCATCTGCCTAAAAGTATTTCCACATCAGCATCTCATTATCTCCAGTCGTTCTCATTCAGCACACACGTCGGCTTCCCATCTACTTCCTTGTAACCAAAATGAATGAAATGAAAACAAAAGATGTGTTATTACTGGATGGCAGGAGTTAAAAAACGGTCTGATCTGGGACACATTGTCGTTTAATGTACGACACCGGCACAGTAAACCTGCACAACGAAACAAGACTAAAATCCCACCACCACCACAAATGGAACCAGTGCAGTCTCCAAAATGAATTCCACCTGCTCTGCACTCTCCTTAACCCCAGTGTGGCTCACAAACACCACTTTCTGCTGCCAGCAGTGACTGTTCGTTAGCCTTAGTCTTAATGTAAAGTGTGAAAAATGCAGAGCTTTTCTCACAACTGTAGCAGGTAGAAGCTCTGAAGGTGTGACGAGTGTAGGCATCCTGAAAATCCTTTCCCAGAACCATTAACTAGAAAGAAAAACGAGCATCCTGTGCTGTTTTCTGGCATAAAGAAGGATTAAATCAGGTTGAGAAATCAATCGCACTGGGATGAGAGTGACAGTTTAAAAGAAGCACTTCCTGCCTGAGATCCAAGTCCAAACCAGCGGATCGGGTGGCCTAACCCAGACTGTGTGTCCATAACAGCTCAACACTTTCCCTTTAACTCCTGAGGGAACTGAATCCAGGTATGTAGGTCCTCGTCTGGAGATGAGACGAGCCTTTGTGTCCTGGTAATACTGTTTATCTTAGATTGCAGCACAAACTGCTGACTGCTGATTTTATTGTGCTGTGCGATGGCATCAAGACTTGGCCAAGTCTGCTGAGTGTCTGATGACGCGTTTGAAGCGAAAATTCAAACTGGTTCTTGTGACAACGAAAACAAAAGATGCAACAAAAAAAAAAGATGCAAGAACGCAGTGATCAAACGGTGTTTTTGTGAAAACTATAAAAAGCAACGCAGCTAAGCGGCTGTAACAAGAAGGTCTGAGGAGCGAATTAAAGAAAGGGGGGGTTAACTTGTTACTCTTACACCTGTGTGATCAAATGCCTCTAAAACATTTAGAAGATAAATCATTGAGCATTTTCACAAAATCAATAAAGGCAGTCCCAGCACAGTTAAAGTTACAGAGCAGATCTAAAGCTTGTGTGAAAGGCATTCAAGTGGGACAGGAGACTGAAGGAAAAAAAACAGCAGAGATATCTACCAAGGGCAAATGTGGGAAAAGACAGACTTTAGCAGCACGCTTTCCTTACAGGATGAAGGATGCAGGTATGTGAAATCATGACTCGTCTGATAACTGATAAAGGATGCACAGATTGTTGCATCAACTTGTTGTGGGGTACCAATCTGCTGCTGCATGGCCGAGATACCTTTTTCCATTTTTCTAAGTTGTCAGCATGAATAATTCAGGACCAGCAGCCTTTATGGGCAGCTGCTGTTTAATACACAGATTACATACCAGCAGTTAACCTGTATTTAATATGTTTTGTTAAGAATCAACATGAGGTGATGGGGGAGCGGGTGCAACAGTGCTGGGTGAAGTTGCAGCAACTCACCCGGGCGTACTTGGAGGAGTAGGGGTCCTCAAACAGAGCCCATATCCGAGGTTGCCAGGTTTTCCACCAGCCGGCTCTCCGCGCGTCCTCCTGCAGGCACAGTCTCTTCAGGTCCCCGTCGGCGCCCCCCAGAGCCGGGTCGTCGTCCGGCGCGTCCGGCTCCGGGGTCTCGAAGCTGTCCAGCGCCTCCTCGGCGTCCCGGTGCTGCCGGTAGTTCATCCAGCAGCACGCCTCCACGTCCGTCTCATCGATGCCCCAGAAGGCCAGCTCCTCCTCGAACAGGGGGCCGCACACGTCGTTGGGACAGTGCAGCTTGCCGGTGCGGTAGTAGTTGAGGATGAAGGAGAAGACCGACGGGTGGCGGTCGAAGAAGAACTCGTCCAGCTTGGGGTCGTAGTCAAAGTTACTGAAGGCGTCCGGCTCGGTGAGCCACGACAAGCGCGTCCCCGGCAGCGTCTTCAGGGTGCTCCGGTACGTCTCATGCCGCACCCCCCCGCAGTTTATCACGATTTTCTCGCTTTCCGACGGACAAGTCATGTCTGCGCTGTAACATGCTTTGTTGGACGACTTGTTCCCACCCTTGCGCCCTTTGAAAGAGGATACACACACCGAACTGAGCATAGAGGAGCGGGGGGGGAGGAGGGAGAGGATGAGAGAAACCGGAGGGAGGAGGGAGGAGGAGTCTGCGGGAAGAGGAGACAAAAAAAAAAAAAGGAAGAAGGGCGGAAATGTTTAAGCAGAACGGGAGAAATGGATTTGGACTTTATCAACATTGTGATTATTATTACAGGATGTGTGTGCAGTGATTCATAGCACGAGCTTGGGGAAAAGTTGCACAGAATCATCATCATCTTCATGCCAGCACAAGAAACACACACACACACACACACACAGGTGGCTCAGACTCTGAACACACTGCATGAGTCAGAGTCCACAGTGATGAGAGGATCTGAAGGGTCCCAGGAGCTCTCAGCGCCCCCCCCCCCCCCCCCCCCCCCCCCCC